CACTTTGGCTGAGCCTGGCCCTATTGCCTCCTATTGTTCTGTCCAGAGCTGGCTAGGCCTTCGGATTATGCTTCAGTTGGCCTTAAGCAATGTGTATTGGTCCAGCTGAGGGGCTGGTGATAGTCTTTGAAGGTGGCTGCGTGTTTCCCTGGTAACCTACACCTGCTGCTCTCTAATGTGACCCGGGTGGGGACAGGATGGTAGAGCCAGTACTCTGCACCACCAGAGCATTGAAATTACAATCCACCAGGTTGCATTGAAAGTGGTAGATTGGAACCAACTTGATGGGATTCCAATAACGGAACTTTGGGATTACAAATGTTGGCTTTTTGGACTGAGACGAGGACCTGGAAGCGTCTCCTACAAGGGCTTGTTTGTTGACACAGGTCTGGCTGAGTAGCCCAGGCTGACCTTGAACTCACAGCAGTCCTCCCGCCTCAGGCTCACACCTGGGTTTTGCCAGGCTCTTGCAATTCTTAGGCCTAGGCACCTGCAAAGGCAAGCGCAGCGACTGCGGTTCGATCCCTGGCACCACATGCCGTGCTGGCCCCGGCCCCTGGACGCGCCGAGCCGTCCAGAGACTGGGCACAGTGGTGCACGCTTGTAATCCCAGCACGGGGAGGCTGAAAACAGGAGGATCACTATGCGTCCAAGCTCCATGGTGAGACCCTGCACCAAATACATAAAAAAAGGAGAAATTATTTTACATGCTGTCTATAGAAAGATTTAAACTAGGTGTGGTGGTACACACCTTTAATCCCAGCATTTGGGAGGCTGAGACAAGAGGATCGTTGGGATTTCAAAACCAGCCTGGGAATCTCTTCTTGGCCTTTTGCCTAAGATCAAGTGCAAGACCAGCCTGGGCTACAAAGTGAGCTCAAGGCCATCCTGAGCTGCGCAGCGAGACCCTGTCTCAAAAAGACTTTATTTATTTATTTATTTTTTGGCGGAACCAGGGATTGAACTCAGACCCTTGCGCTTGCCAGGCAAGTGCTTATGCTATTGAGCTATTTCTCTGGCCCCACAACGCAATTTTTTAATTTTTTTTTTGGCTGCACCTGGATTGAACTCAGGCCCTTGTACTCGCCAGGGAAGGGCTTATTCCACTGAGCCATCTCCCCAGCCCCTTCAAAAAGACTTTAAAGAGAAAAAAGAAAAGAAAGAAAAAGGAAGGCTGGTGAGGTAGCTCAGCCATCCAAAGTGGCTGCTCAGGCAAGTGCAGGGGCCGCTTCCGACCCCCAGCACCCCAAGCCGCGCCAGCCCCCACCAAGTGTGTTGCTCTTCCCCTGGAGCCTTGGCCGCCTGTGACTCCGCACACCTGGGTGCAGCCCTCTCCCGGCCTGCGAGCTCGGGGGTGACGTCATTCCATCCCTTCGGAGATAAGTTATAAAAGAACTCTATTAAGTGATTTAAATAAAGTAAGTGCTTACCCACGTTGTCTTCTCGGAAAAACAGCAACTACCTAACCTGTGTGGCTTTCGAGGGCGTGTGAGCTGCAGAGTGTCGCAGGCAGCGAGCTCTGGCCTTCGCTCGTGGAGGTGCGCGCCTGTGACCCAAGCTACGCTGGAGGCTGAGGCGGGGGGCTGCGGGTTGGAGCCCAACCTGGGAACCTTAGTGAGTCCCCGTCTCAAAATAAAAAGGGGGCGGGGTGCTGGAGATGTAGCGTGGTACTCCTTGTATTCAATCCTCAGTACCAGAAGAAAAGATGTTGATGGTGTTACTCATTTTCTTTTTTCCGGATAGTTGTCAGGGTATGTAGTCCAGGCTGGCCTTGAACTCACCGTGATCCTTCTGCCTCGGCCTCCTGAGTGCTGGGGTTACAGGCCTGCCCTGACTCGTGTGATTTATTTTTCAAAATTTGTCAACAAGAAAAATAACTTGAGACCACGTGTAGTGGTGCACACCAGTAATCTCAGCTCCCGGGAGCCTGAGGCACGGGGACTGCTCAGGTGTGAAGCCAGCTGGGGCT